GCCCTTTCCCCACCCCCCCCCCCCCCAAAGGCAAAAACGCCAAAAAATATATATATATATATTCCTCATAAGTCATGAAGCTTCTTAGACGTCTAATGGTAAATTTATTAGATAAAGTTGTTTAGGGATGCACAGTTTGCGACATTTCAACTTTCTTTGCATGTCTTTTACTCACATCAGTTGCGTCGTTGAGGGACAAATTATCAATTAAATTTAAAACTAGTTAATTTTGGACATAGTAGCCCCAGTGTTTTATTAGCATGTTTGTGTGTATTTCCAGCCTCTGCACAATGCTGTCCCTTCAGTGGGAGACAGAGATCATAGCAGTGGCAGTCATGTACCTCGCCGGCCGGCTGTGTAAGTTTGACATTCAGGAGTGGACGTCTAAGCAGTCGTCTCGCCGCTGGTGGGAGCAGTTTGTGCAGGATGTGCCGGTGGAGCTGCTGGAGGGTAAGAGACTGCAGCAGACAGGGCACAAGCCCTCTCTACATCTAATTATTTTCATATGGCAACATTAACCAGAGCAGTCTAGTTCATTGTGTCATGATACACTGCTCTCTTCCAGCATTTTCATGATCTCTACCCTTGTCTTGTGTTCTTCAGACATCTGCCACCAGATTCTGGATTTGTACTCTCAGGGTAAGCAGCCGATACCCCAGCAGCCTCAGATACAGGACAAAGAGAAACCTCCACCCCCTCCTGCTGCTCAGCCTGGCCAGTCAGGGGGGCAGAACCCACCTGCTCAACCTCCCTCCAAAAAAAACTCCCCCCAGGCCAGCCCACCCGCCAAGATTAAACGACAACATGTAAGTAAAGCATTCACAACCAGCTCTGATAAATTATGGAAAACACTCATCATTCAGGTCACCTCCCTGGCACACATGCGCTCATCCCGGACTCTTATGAGGCTGCCTGCTTCAGGATTATGGATAGTGTAGTCTTTACCGGGAATTTGGCTATTAAAACTGAATTCATTTTTAAAAGTTGAAATCACATTAAAGACATAGTTTACCCAAAGATGAAAATTCTGTCATCATTTACTCATGCTCATATTGTTCTAAACCTGTATGACTTTCTTACTTCTGCAGAACACAGAAGAACTTATTTTGAAGAATGTTGGTAACCAAACCAAAACATTTATTTTTGTACGGACAAAAAAAAACTTCTATAAAAGAAGTTTATTTAAAATTTTTACTTTTAATTTTTGGATGAAATATTCCTTTAAATTGTGGCTTTTACAGAACCTTATAGCAGTGCAATCGAACGGTCTCAGAACTCATGGTAGATCTGTAACAAAAAAAAATTAGTTTCTTGAAGAATTGTGAGGTATTTAAGGCTCATGTTTTATTTTGTTTTGTAGGTCTCTCCTAAAGACGAACCTAAAGCCCCAACAGGTAAATCACTCTGGACATTTTTATAGTGTCATAATAATAAATCTTGTCTGTGAGATTATGAATTTGTATTAAAGGGGTCATCCGATGCTACATGCACTTTTACAAGTTGTTTGAACTGAAATGTGTGTTGGCAGTGTGTGTACACAGACTGATGACAGTCTATAATGATAAAACAACCACCCTATAATGATAAAAATCCACCCAGTGTTTTTTTTTTTTATCTACTAAAATCTTTACCCCAAATCGAGCCGATCTTGACAGGCCCCTCCCAGGGTAGTTTGATTGACAGTGGCGTTTCAGCACAGACTGGAGTGGTGTCTTACCTTAGACCCGCCCTGAGTGAGCTGTCATCAGTCCGCCATTGTTTCACCGCCAGACCAGATGTAGACAAGAATGGCTCCTAAGTGATTGAGGTGTTCAGTTGTTGGATGTAATAATGAACATAGCAGTCGTCATTTACTCTCGACATCTGAGCCGCTGAAGACGCAGTGGATTCCGTTTGTTTTTGAAGGGAATGCGCCCCCGATCTACATAAATGTTTGCGGGAATCATTCGTGATCCAGCTTCACCTACAGAAGAAGGGAGTATAAGGTTTTTTTAAAGAATCCGTACAAATCGCCTTTCCTAATAATGTGCTAATTAGCAAATTTCACGATGAATGCGGCTAAAGTAAACAGTCCCTCAGAGAGCTGCTCGGAAGAGAGGGGCGGGGGCAGCAGAGCTCATTAACATTTAAAGGAAAATGCTACAAAACGGCTTGCTCTGAAAAGAGGTGTTTTTGACCGGGTAAAAAGGTGTTTTTTTACACTACCATTGAGAAATTTTAACCAAACTATGTTACAGACATTTCATTAAGACCCTAAAGAATCATATCAACTTGTGGAAAATGGGCATCCGATGACCCCCTTTAAGTGCTATTTTCTCTCTGTCTCTGAAACAGAGCAAGTTGGGTCTAAGATACCACGCCTGGAGAGTCCTATGCCCCCTCTTCCTGTGTCCCAACCCCCAGGTGAGGCTCTCTGTGTTTTGAAATAGGCAGCAAAATAAATCTTATGAAATCTTACCAACCCCAAACTTTTGAAAGTAGTGTATATACACACAATGCAATGATGCTTGCTAATAAAAACTATAAAAAAGTGAAGTATAATGTAAATAATTGGTACTATAATAATGTCTGTCCACGCATAGATCGTAAGGCTCCATCTGCCGTCCCAGCTCCTCCCGCTGAAGCAGAACCGGCCACATCAGCTGACATGGATCCAGCACAGGGCCCGGCTCCTCCTCTGCCGCACGGGGCCCCGCCCCCTTTGCCTCACCGCCCGCCACCCCCTCCTCCCTCCAGCTATATCATGGGAATGTCCACGTCCAGTTCGTACATGTCCGGCGAGGGATATCAGAGTCTGCAGTCTATGATGAAGACTGAAGCGCCATCCTACGCGCCCATGCCCCCTTCATTCGGCCTCCCGTACCACCCACACGTCTATCCACATTCAAACCCCCCACCTCCAGGCCCTCCTCCCCCAAGCACTTACCCTCCTCCCAATCTGCCCCCACCCACCCCAGCTTACCCCCCTCCGGGCTACAACCCCAGCTACCCTCCTCCACCCCCACGTATGCCACCAGGGCACACTGTGCCCCCTCCTGTAATGGGCTTACCACCCGCTGGGTACCCACCTCCACCCGGCCAACCTCAGGTGCCGCTGCCGCCCCACGCCATGCCGCCTGTGGCAGGAATGAACAGAGGGGCGTGGATGAGATGAGAGGTGAATTAAATCAGTCCTTCACACCTTGGTTTAGGCCCATGATTCATGTGCCTGTCTACAATATACAGTCTGTATCAGGTTTATATGTATTCTGATGCAGGTTTCACAGGAAGGTACAGACATTTCAGCTGCCGAGAATACCACAGACTTCCGCTTGGGTTCAGGGTTTCACCGCTCTGTAGACTTTATATCCACCAATGCGATTTAAAGGGATAGTTCACCCCAAAATGAAAAACTGATGTATTTACTCTAGCTCGTGTTGTTCTAAATCTGTATGCAAAAGAGAATTTTGAAATATCTTCATGGATATTTTCCATACAATGGTTCACATTGACCATGTTTGGTCTATATATATATATATATATATATATATAAAACATCTAAAAAAAGAATGGACCATACAACTTGTGATCTACGACTTGGTCCATAAGATGTTTCTGAAGTCATATAATAGAGATGTTTTTAGCTTTTTACAAAGTTATTATATGGTTTCACATCTCAAGTAGTAAGGATTACTTCATAGTGTTTTTTTCTGGTCCGTATGAATGGTTTTTGCATGAAAAGAAAAAAAAAATCATACAGGAGTTTTATGTTTTGGGGAAACTATCCCTTTAGATTCGTTCACATCACCACTTACATTCCAAACCCATTTTTGTGAATGAATAATGAATTCTTGGTTGTACAGAGAACCTTTTTTTTTTTAAATGTTATGTATTCACTCCCCTTTGGCTTTGCTTTTTAGTTGGTGTGTTGCAGAATTCATCTTTTTTTCTTATCAACATGGGGAAAAATATCCCACAAATCATCCTTAGCAGTCCTTTTATTCAGATGCATTTCTGGCATCTTTGACTGACCTGAGATCAAGTCCGTTGATTGATGGACATGTTAGTTCCATAGTTTCCCGTATGTGCCTTAGTTTGGTTAGTATTTAATCAGCAAAGGACTTGCTATGCTCAACCACCTTGTGTTTGCCTGTTGATTTTTTTAGGCAGATAATAAAAGTCTTTTTCCCCTTGTGCATTTCCTGAATTGTGTCTTGTTTTAAATTGCATCACTGTCATGCTATCAATTAAAAAACAGATTCAGTTATAAGTGTTTAATAAAAAAACACATTGTGATACACAAGGTTTAAACATGATATGGTTTCACATGAGAATATCGTGGGAAAGTTTCTTACAAACCTTGCCTGTTTCAAACGAGCTCCTGGATAGAAAGATTAAAACATGTTTCCCAAGATATAAGCCAGTATACATTTCTAAAATGAACACTATTAAAACTTGAATTACATTAATAAACTACATCATATTGTGTAATGATAAACGGGGCATTAGTTAAAATGTATTAATGATTAAGTTTTATTCTTATATTTGCATTTATGACTATTGATCTGTTCATGATTAATTTATTATTGAATTTAAAGTGTTCAGTCAGGCTTACTATTTGGTTAGCTGAAAATATTAACTTGGATAGGTTATCAGAAAACATTGTCTTTTCCATATCTTATATACATTTTGTTATGCCTCATTGTGCATGCAGTATGTATTATGTATTGTGACATTAACCTACACACACACACACACACACACATGGAATGTCTTGCGCCATAAACATCCATTATGAGTGCATTGCAAAATAAAACAAAAATAGCATTTACAGCAAAGTAGGTGTTTATTAAGCGTTTTGCATGTGAAGCTAAGTAGTCAAAGTATATTATATATAAAAGTGTGGTCACAATACATTTACTACAATAAGTTGATTCGGTTTGAATTTTGTTAGGTTGTCAATGAGATGAAATGAGTGTAAAAATTTGTAATGTCCCTTCAATACCATTAGGGGGCAATGCCCTCCGACATTTTTTTCTTTTTTTAATTTTGCATTGGCATGTTTACTGGAATTAGGCCCTATGTAAGACATCAAGTATACCAATATAGCCCCAATATTGCTCTCTGCAGCCAATAATTCAGCAAACAATTGTGTTAAACACAAACCATGTTTCCCAATTGCCAATAAACCGGTATTTAATATAGCAATGTGTTTTTTTCTTTCTTTCATAGTTTTGTTCATGGGTTTTGAGTTGTGGACATCTGCCTAATTTAGCAAGTGACATGAATTTGCACCTAAATCACATTTGACCAACAAAACATAAGAATGTTTAGTTGCATTTAGCAGTGTTCTTCCCCCTGCTGCTGGCAACCGTATCAGATCAAACTTGTGACCTATTTTCAGGGTCACAATCCTCCATTTGAGAACAACTCAACAAAATATCCCAAAGTACAGGTTTAGCATAGTTTCCAAATACACTTCAAATTACCGCATTACGTTATAGACTAGGGCATGGGTTTTTGACAAATTTCACGTTTCGATTCAATTCTGATTCACAAGATTGCGATTCGATTATTTTAGTTATATAGTATCTCTCTCTCTCTCTCTCTGTATGTGTGTGTGTGTGTGTGTGTGTATATATATATATATATATATATATATATATATATATATCTGAGACTTGTTTAATATCAAAAGCAACAAAGCACAAAGCTTATTGCGATTTATTGGATGGGGTGTGCGTATAATTCCATTAACAGAAAACAGGCTAGACTCGTTTCTTGGGATTTAAGAATCATTTTGTAAAAATGAGAATCGATTAAAAATCGAGAAATCAATATTTTGTACCCAGTGCTATAGACACTATACAACAAAGTGTACAATGTCCTCTATCATAGTAATGCTGGTATTTCACATTCGTGAAAAGCTAACAGCTAATTTATGATACATCATGTTTTAAAGGGGTTATATGATGCAATTTCAAGTTTTCCTTTCTCTTTGTAGTGT